CCCCGGTCGGGGTCCTACGAATGATGCAAAACAGTGACTTAAGACGTTATCAGACATGAGTCAGAATAAAGGCCAGTGGCAGTCGTGCTGTAAACTTTTTGTTGCTTTATTCATAAAAGTGAGAGTAACTCCTTTAAGTGAAAGAATCCTTTCTGGTTGTATTTTTCTCAACTGAACTGCTTCTCCTACCATTATCGTCATCACTATTATTATTATTTTGTTATCTCACTGTCATGCACTAATTTCACTTTATCATTGTCATTTTTTATTATACTCACCTTACTTCATCTCTTCACAACTTATTTTTATTGTGTGGCGCATATATATTGTGAAGCCTTCTTGTATTAATGTTGACGCGTTCAGATAAATAAATAAGCGTACGGGAAACTACGAAAAGTCCAACATTTATTTGAGCTGTTGCGGTTACGGCATTTGTACTCACTGATGATTCCCTTGTATTTGATTGCGCGATTATTACGAATTCCGAATATAATACGTCCAGTTGTGCTTATCTACTTACATTTGTCTTAAGTTAGGCTATTCTGGGAATTCTTAGTTAGCACATCAATTTAACCACTTCTAATAATCATATGAAGTTCACAGCTGTCAAGAAAGGGAAACCAGTCGTTGTAAAGCGTAGCGGATCTGGAAGTCGGTACAAGCTATTCGTTGTGATTAGCTGAACGCTCAGGTAACCACAGGCACTGTTGTGTGCTTCCTACATGAGCCTAGTATACATAAGATATCTACAAGGAAGATTAACAGTTCAGTAAAATTTGTATGTTGTTGGTTATGAAAAGATATAATGCTTGATTTCAGTCTCTTTTAAAATTTGAAATATCAATTAATAGTATAAGGCGTGATCGAGAGAAAAATCAAAAATTAATTTTCCTCAATACAGTTAGTATTCGAGTAAATTCTGGGCCGTTTTTAAAAGAACCAAGAGAGTGAGTTATTTCCATTCCTCGAGACACTAGACTCCTACAACAATAAGTTTTCACGGAGTTTTTGCGCGTGTACTGTTTCATCTTACTACTAAATGACACTTTTAATTGTCGTCTGGTACTATAACGTATTAATCTTTTAGTGATATGAATCTAATTATGAATAATACAATATATCATGTGTAGATTAAAAACTAGAGTTTGAAATGACTAATAACTGTCTAGGTAATATAGATATGCGTTATTGCACAGTTGAAACCAAAACAAGGTAGTTGGATAAATGACGGTTCTAGATTTCATTATCAATGTAAATGTACATTATTATCTAATCAAATATTACTATTCAGTTAGTCAACTGATAATTGTCCAATCAGTTGTCAAATTTAAATTACACCAAATAAACAAGTTGATAAAAAACGTAAGAGAATTACCAAGTGTAACAAATAAATGTTATTTTATCCTTTCTGAATAGATCACTTACATATTCGTTCGAAAGATAATATATGGTAGCGTTATAACACAATGTTTCCATTTCTGGAAGAAGAATGTGTAGTGTCAGTTATTATTTTTAGCCCATAATATCCTTTATTCTAACTTTCGGACATTCCATTCTATTCATTCTACTTGAGTCATATTTTGACCTTGTTAGTCATTCGCTTATCAGTCTTGACTGTTTTTATATGAGCGTATATGTGTGTACACATCATATCCCATGTCTCATCACATGTCTGTGTTTATTTTGTCTGCTATAAATATTGAGTAACGCTTGACTAAAAATGAGTTGGCTTACCAGCCATCTCCACTCTGCGTCGCTTCTCTTTCTTCTATTCCATTCATCTCATATGCAAGATATGTGTATTCAAAATCCCATTCTCGTTATTTGACTCATTTAATTCCGTTATTGACTAACGTGATTTAAAGTCGACGATTATATACGAGAATAGGCGATAACAAACATTTATAAGATCTAAATGGAGCCAGATCCACGGGCCACAAAAAATGCTTCAATATGCAATCAAAAATGCACAATTTCAGTCAATGTAAGCGACACAAATAAAAGGGGAAACAAATCAATATGGATGCCGTCAGGACTAGACAACAACTAAAACAACATAAATGCAGTTCACGAAGAAACATGAAAACTCAGCGAAGGTGTAAGGAAAACAAAAACTACAATAAAACAAAATTATTACCATCGCAAATTGAGTCAAAAAGATGTACATCTGACGGAATCAAGAAGGATAAATCACAAGTATATACGTGTAGGGAGTTTCAAACACAAAACCTTGAAAATGGATCTTACATCATGGTCGTGCTCCTCATAAAATTGTAATGTACTGAACAATTTGCAATTTTACTGCTTCTACGATGTATTCTAGTTTAAGTACCGTTTTAGTTACTCTTCTCGAGAGCCATTCCAGAAAACCACACTTTTCGAATACGGAGTTATTTCCGAAAATGGTTTGGAGTAATTAGGAGATCCTGCTTTTTATGCTTCTTGAGACATACATTATGGTAGACATCAAGAAGGTCGACATACTTATATTGTTGATTATTGCTTGGTCAAATTAGGATTTGCTAGTATGATGTCCATAAGTTCGTGCAGCAGAACTAGAGCAATACAGTCACAAGTGCTCCGCAATTCTTAACCGATACATTTTTATAAACTCTGTAACAGCCAAATCTGCTGATGATGAATTTTGCCATTCTGTTATTGTAATCCTCATTTTCCACTCTGGCTGTTCGTTCCGAATTCTCTGGTTATAGAAATTATGCCATAGTAGTCGAAACAAATCGAAAGATTGCAGATAAGTGGTAGTTGAGGAGAGGATGCTAACCTATTGCAGAAGGAAATATGAAGATCGATTACGACAGTGGAAAGCGGAACTCTCGAACCACTGGAAAAGTAAGAGGTAGACGTAGCATGACTGTTTGCAATTAGCCCTCTGGGTTTAGGTAGGTAGGTTTTCTAATGGTTCGTTAAATTACCTTATTCAAGTCTTCAGGTGTAGTAGTGACATTTTGATAAAATTAGAATAAAACATTTAAAAATAACATGATGTGTCGTAATATGGCTTCTTTGTGTGGGTTCACCTGTAACTATCACTAATGTTTTACATGAGTCCATAATTTCATGATATTGGAGTTAGGAAGACTTGTAGATAGTAGTTACCAAACCATATCTTAGTCTGTTCCTTCGAGCACTGGCACCTGGCCATATTAGGAAGGCCGTTGTAATCATGCTTAAAGCAGTTTTCATTACAATATTCAGATATGATTCTAAACTCAAACAGAACCACACATGTGAATGATCACTGAGGTCTAGCGGGTATTATACAGCTGTTTTGAAGTTTCAAATCCGTCCAAAGTCTTACATACGATCACACATTTGGTTAAATCTGTTCCCCCTTGGTATCATGGCAACCATACGAAAATCAAATTATTTAACTGTAATTCAATGGTTTGAACTTCCCAGTCCTAGCCAGTTGCAAGAATAATATTTGTTTTGTTGTCTAGTATGACCAATGAACTTTCATTTCTTTGAATTGTAAAACTGAGTGTTATTCTTTTATTTTATTCACTTCAAAAATAATATGACCTTACGTATAAACACGTTGTATGGTTTCCCTTCATTTTTATATTCCACTTGATAAACAGTAACAGGTAACAATTTTATGTCTCGGACATGACTTCAAGAGAATCTGAATAAATCTTTCATACACCTTGAAATGTGTATTACTTTTTCCCCTGATAATAAACGTATTCTACCGATTAGTAGTATTGAAGTGAATTTCTTGCACGAATTGTAGAAACAGTGACGTTGGACAAGGTTTATACCAAGCAAAATGTGACTGTAGGTGGGATTACGAACTGCTATAGTGTAAACCAATAACTTGAAGGCTTCTATATTTCGCATTCCTGTACCTTAGAAGTGATTAACATTTTATTTCGGCACGTCGTGAAATATAATTAGATGACAAACATTGTCACTAGGATGTAGATATTTTCGAATGAACTAATCAACCGAAATAAATCATACAAAGCTAGTTTAACTTCGTTTGTAAGTCAAGGTTTTAACGATTTAAGGTATGATGAATGACGGAAACCTTAAATAAATATGAGAACTGAGTAAATTTATGTTCCCAGTAAAACAAACACAAACACACACAGTACATAGATAAATAATAAATAACTGCATTTCCAGCAGTTTGATCTCTCTTACATTGATAATAACTTTGTGAGAAATAATCATTGTAAATTACACTGAACATAATATTCTCTTTCGACAAAAGAACACAATAAGATTGGATTACGGGTATATAAATATGATATTTTAAAGAGTTTGGAAAAGAAGATCACACTTATCAATCTCATATGTCACCGTTGAACAATGATCTACCTAGCTTGAACTTGTTCAAAACTAAAAATAATAATAAGCGAGAAATAGGAACAATCAAAAATTTAAAGAAAACATGATAAAAGGTGATTATTCTTATCAATGAATCAATTAGCATTCATTATCATCACCTAAACGCTTTAAGTAGAAAGGGATATTTAATGAATAAACTAACAGATAGTACCACTAGTAGTATGTAATTATTTATATATAAATAATACTAAAGATTTCCAACCAGACCTCTTAGTCTAATCTGATTTCCATCATATGAACAGGATGTAGACAAGTTTTCGAAATGGGAAAAATAGGGAAATTTAACCTTACATTAAAAAAGGAGAACATGACACAAACAGATCAAATCATTTAAGTGAATATAAAGGAGAGCCTATAGTAAATGTGTTTTCAATATTGTATATACTCAACAATGGAACAAATAAAATACCTTTAAAATACTATAGAATATTGGAAACAGTGAAAATGCATCGTTTTATTTGAATAAGAAATGTGAATAGATGAGGACGGAGTCGTAATCATAAAAGGGAAATTCTTTCGTTAATTTTGGTTTCAGAATTTTGACAATGTAAACATATCCTGACGATTAACGATAGATTTGTTTAGTAATGTATATGTATACTAGTGACTGACAGTTGTTTCAATGTTTATACTTTATTATCGTGATATAACTGAGTTGTCATTATATCACCTGTTGAGACAGTTTGGACAGCTATAGATACACCACTCATTTCAGATAGCGAACTTGATGTTCCACTATCCTCTTTTGATAAATGATTTAGGGTATTTTTCATTGGTTTCGTTGAAGATTCAGTCGATGAAGTCACAAGGCTATGATGTCGATTGTGATCATTATTCTTGTCATTATAAATATAATTATCGTCATTATTATTAATCATAGTTATGGTATGATTACCACTGCTTTTTATATAACATGGTTCCGATTGTGTTTGATTACATGATTCTGTTGAGTGACTTGAATCGTATAATTCAAGGCATGATGATTTGGAGTTTGATAATGGCTGGATGCCAGTTTTATTATGATTGTGTTTTGACTGAAAATTAAGCACACGTTGCATTTCTTCTTCGACTTCACCTGGTATAAATTTTATATCAATTGGTAAATGTAAACCTTCTTCATGTGCTATCGGTGAAACAAATGGTTCATCCCCTTCGTCCTCAATCTCCTCATCACCAGCTAAAGCATATTCTAAGTCGGAATCGTTATCCACTAGATGATTTAGATTTGATCTGACCAACTCTCTTTCTTTATTATTTGTACACGTTTCGACGATAAAATCTTCAATTTCTTCTTCAACCTCAGTATCGTCATCAGCAGCAGTAGAAATTGTAGTTTCCATAGTACCAACATTTCCTTCATGATCCATGGTACCGATAGCAACTTCACGTGATCTCGATTTGTTATGTCCATTTCGTTTATTTATATCGGATTCATAAAAGTTTTGTATATTATGTAAGAGTGTTTTGTTACGATTATTGGTTAATGAATTTAATTTTTTCATATGAGATAACGCTCCAAATTTTTCAACATTTTCACGATCACATTCTTTCCAAACATGAGTTGCACGCCATTTTGCACGTGACTCTTTCGGTGCAAGAACAGCATTGAAATATAAAATTTCATCAACCTAAATGTAAAAATATGAGATTAAGAGATTATTTAAATTTTAAAAGTTAAGATCATGAGTCAATTCAAGCTAGATCACCATGAAAACCTGGAAGCATTGGTCGACCGTTTCGTCCTATTGTGGGACTCCTCAGAAGTGCGCATCCACGACCTCGTCTCTCGAGATTCAAATCCAAGACCTATCAGTCTCGTGCGTCCAGCGCTTCCACGTTTTCCATGGTCGTCTAGCTTCAATTGACTTATGATGTCAACTATTAAAATTACTATAACATCCACAAAACCCCTTCTGATATCAATTATTTAAAGAAATTTTACGATTACGAAAAGGAATTACAGATATACATAACATGTATACTTAGGCTATCCATAACACGGAAAAATGGCATACTCAACAGGATGTCCTCTGCTTACTTTTTTTCATTTTGTTATGAATTTAGGTTGCGGCCGACTTTTACCCTGTGCTAATTGTTGTGTCCTTGACTGGAAAATTAGAGAGCGGCGTACTTATCGATCGATTCAATGACACGTAAACACGTACGGACGGCCTAGAGTCTCGATTGGTCTCACTTCCCTGTCTAGCCCAGTCAGTTGAGTCCAGAACACAAGTCACAGCCTCTGAGATATGAATCACTATATTTCAAACATACTTTGTTTATATACCAATCAAGCATACCACATCGTACCATAAAATAGAGAACAACATTTTGTACAATATTCAACAAGTGAACAGATATCGACCAATAGGAAATGTCCAAGGACACCATTGGACTTAACATGATAATTATTGGTCTATTCCTCCGCATCCACCACACATTTCATATACTTTTGATAAACAGGTGAAAATAATTTAAATCACAGGTTGAGGGGAATATGAAAGAGATTAAACATAGAAGAGCATTTTCAGTAATCTGTTTCCATCAATCCATGGTAATACAGCCTAATCTAGAATCCTTAGGTTTCAATATAAATGAAGCTTTATCAAACCAATAAACCAACTGATCTATTTTCTCCAACTTCAATTATTTAGATCAGTTATGTATTTATCGTAAAAATTCCATATTATAGGAAATAACCTACTTCATTCTAGGATGGTTTAGCCTTCAGAAAATATACGGGTCAATAAGGAATTTAGAATTACTAATTATTCTGAAGTTTATGGAAATTTTGTTTTAACTAGATATCTCTTATTTACTGAAAGCAGCTATGGAAATAAATATTCAAGTAGATAGTAAAAAGTTGTGATCTATGAAACAGATTTAACTCCATGGAGCTCGCCCCTAGGATTGCTGTTAGACCAAAGCCAGATAAAAGAAGTTTGGGAATAGAGTCAGAAACCTCACCCCATAGAAAACAACCTTTCTAAAAAACGGTAACCGAAATAAACGAATTAAACTATTTAAGCTCTGCCTCGTGAATTGAAGGTCCTTCATTTGGGACCGTTATGACACCTCGTGATAAAATTCGAGATTCTTCGGAAGTCACCAGGCTGATGCTCCTTCTGACAATTAAAGCAACGATACAATAGGTAAATGGGATGTTTGCACAATGTGCGTAACCGTGAGGACCAACCAAATAGCTGTGGAAACAAGACAATACAGCTTGGTTGTTCACTGAATCAATGAAACTCATTGGACTCAAACTGGACATAAAAGGTTAGCTTCGGTAGAGATGGTGTTGTATTTTGGACAACAAAACTGCTGTCGGTGGCACCACGTTTCCCCACCAATACATACACAGTTCATATGGGTTTCACCGCATAATACTACAACAGACCAGACCTATCACATTTGCATCAATAAAAAATTCAGATTCATTGAAGAGATGAGAACAAAGAGAGGAGTTGACATAGCTTTGGATCCTCTTTTGATGGTGGTAAATATGAAGCTGAAGCCAAATAAGCGCTGTACAGCAGGAAAAATATCATGCCAGAAGTTTAGTACAAACTTTGTTTGAGAAACTGACAAACTCAACGAGCTTGAGACAGCTCGCATCAACGGGTCCCAAGCCATACATTATCTACTAAAAGAAGGAGAAACTGCTGTGGAGATCAACTAGAAAGAGATTAACGAAGCATCAGCATAAAAATGTAATCTGTTTTTGATGGAATTTCGTTATCTGAGCTGTATGGTTTGGTCGTGAACTGTTCTTGAGAACAACAATGTGAGCTGCACGAATGAACCATCCAGCTCAAAGAACCGAACCAGTAAAATCCTCCATCGTCCCTACCATCTCAGAGTAAATCTCTGTTGGCACCCTGAGCAGTATACAGTAATTACCAACAACCGAACAAGAACAGAGAAAGTCAATACACAAGCTGAATACACAGAAGCGAAAAAGCAGGTGAACAGCGTCAGAGCTGACAAGCAGAAATACGTGGAAGACCTAGCAATGACAGCGGAGAAAGCTGCAAGAAAAGGAAATATCAAACAACTATATGGCACAACGAAGAAACTGGCAGCGACACGTCATAAACTAGAGAGATCGATCAAGGACAAAGAAGGCAAACCAATCACTGAGACACAAGAACAGAGGAACAGGTGGGTAGAACACTTTGAGTAACCCGTTAATAAGCCAACCCTACTGAATCAACTGGACATCGAAACAACACCTACAGACCTTCCTGTAGGTGTCACTCCACCAACGACGGAAGAAACCAAACAAATCAAGAGTGGGAAGGTAGTAGGATCTGACAGTATGCCAGGTGAAACACTGAAGTCAGACATAGAGGTAACATTGAAGATGCTCCATATTCTATCCAGAAGCATATCGAAGGGAGGACATGAACCAACAGACTGAAAAGGATGGTACCTGATGTGTGGGCAAGAATGACAATGATTGGTTGCCTGCCTAGTCAGACACGTAGATAATCTGACAGGTGTCAGATGAGTTATATATTCCCCTATCCTTGTAATAATTATTATTGATTGCTTATTGTTGTTGGATTGTGCAAGGTTTTGGTGTGGAAATATATTTACGTTCTAGTCAGGCTAATCACGTGTTCTTGATTTGAATTGTCTTGAAGTCCTGTAGAATAGACACTGGGAGGGAATCTAGTGTAGATATTCGTCTAAGGTAAATTAACGTCCCATACGTGTAAACCTGAAAAACCAACCGTTATAACAGTACCTTATCAAGATACTAAAGAAAGGAGATCTGAGCAAATGTGAGAACTACAGAGACATCACACTATTTTCAGTACCAAGAAAACCTTTCAACAAAGTACTACTGAATCGAATGAAAGACTTCGTAGATGCTCAACCCTGAGACCGACAGGCTGGATTCTGTAAGAATCGATAGTGTACCGAGCAAAAAGGGACTAATAAGGATGTTAAGCTGCTCATACCGGTCGAACACCATTGGTTTGGAACAGTACTAAGATTTTACAAGTCGCATTTCGATTGGTGAATAAACTACGTGACGATCATCCGGGTTTAAGTCACAACAAATTGACGACAGAGGTTTCGCGAAAAAAATATACATCAAATTTGGTCACAATTTTGAAGCATAGTTCGGCAGAAGTGAAGATATTTTCTGAGTGGAATTTTCTGCTATGGATGATGCTATTAAAGTCCGGCTGCTGTTACAGAAGCTTGGTCCTAACGAGCATCAAAAGTATAAAAACCATATCCTGTCTAAGCATGCACGATAAGCTAAACCCAATGAAACTGCTAACGTTTTAAATAAAATGTTCTGTGAACTGTTGTCCTTATTTCGTATCCGGTACAACTGTCCACAGTTGACTAAAGAAGCCAACGAATACTACACTATATACTCCGGAAGAGTAAATTTACAAGCGGAACGATTTAAATCAAATTTATTAACCAGTGATCAATTTTGATGCTTATTATTCATTTTTGGTCTGAACTGTCCCATCGATACCGACCTTCGCATGTGGTTTTTATCCAGTATGGAACATGACGTTGAAATGACGCTACAAACTGTTACTGCCGAATGATAACGATTAATGCACCTAAAACAGGATACAGCTATGCTAGAAATCAAAAGTGCGGTGCCACCTAATCATTCTGTTCATGCTGTTAAGACAGGTAGAAGATAAAATAGTACCAAGAGTTATAAATATCAATCGAAAACTTTCTAACCTTCAACTAAATGTCGGTATTGTGGTGCATGGCACTTATCAAAAATTTGCTGCTTTAGAAATCGTCGATGCACTATATGCGATAAAGCCGGTCATAAAGAAACAGTCTGACGAACCAGAGAAAGTTTGCGGTCAAAGCCAACGAAGCGTCATAACCAGTAGCAAAACAAGTATATAAACAGTATATATGCTATACTGGCTCTAAGCATAGCAGACAAAATAAGGTATGTGGAATTAATGGTCATCAGTGTTCATATTCAATTGTAATTAGACGCAGCATCAAATATACACAATGTAGTCACTGAATAGTCATACAATAAGTATATATAATAGTAGTCCATTAGTAGTTCACAGAAGTTACCCATAATTTGATCTTCGCTAGGATATAACAGTAACAAACGTAAGTAATTAAGGACCTACAGTAATATAAAATTAGCGATTTTCACATTACTGTTACATATGTCAAGTGATAGTTGTTTACAAATGAAATTTCCATATGTTGAATGTGTGGCTTGATAAACTACTTATCTTTATATAATATTTCAGAGATATTAAACTAGGGAGTTTACAAAGATCTGTTTGATTTAAAGCAGTGCTTTCACTACGAACTAAGTCAACCTGAAAAACCACTGAAAATAAGAAGAGATTAAAGAAGTGTTTTGTCCAAACTTATAAAAACTTTAAGCAGTGTTTATTAAAAGCTCGATATCAAAGAGGACCAAAATAATTCATATCACCTAGTTAAACAAAATTTATTGAGTAATTGTATAGGAAATATCAATCGACATTTCCCAGCTTTGGTTACTTTGATGACCAATAACTTCAGTCACAGCATGAATAACTTTACAGATCAGTGCTATGTGTTCTTTATTGATAATTTTGTACTGAAAATCACTTGTAAGTGTACAAAACGACCATTAAATATTACCGAACTAATTGTTGTATACTCACAAATAATCATCAATCAGGTGAACTTTGTTAAGTTTCAATTGGAACACATTAGGTAAGAGTTATATAAAATGAAAAAAATAGCCAGGAGAAATCAAGTAGAAAAAATACAAAAATTTCGAAAAAAATAGTCAATTGGAATGCACTACGTTCTGATAAACACCATTCGCCTTCTTTAAAATTGATTTCGTCATATTTAGCACCTGTCACTAAAGTTCTCCTAGAATGTTGATGGAACTGATAATTCTAGTGAAGCTTAGATCCATGTTACACAATATCTCCATCAAGTACAGTACCACTGTACTTGCCAGATTCTAAGCGACATACTTTTTAACTGAAAATATTCACACTGACTGATCAACTACCAGTAACCACCTGATATCAAAGTAAATGGTACTTCATGTAGTTAAATCACCAGTACTAGTGCTCAAACTATAACCTCATCGATAGGAGGTGACTCCCATTAACTGCTGGTCAATGAAAACATCAGTCACTATCAGGTGGTTAGTTGGTGCAGCAAGTATTTGTGTCATATATACATTATTTTCTTGATAAAATTTCGGAAAGAATGATAAATGATTAAATTACACTTTGTCAGCTTCTATTAAAGTGTCGATAACTCATTGTTTCATAAAAAACATCGTATTATATACGAAAGAAATCATTTATGAGCAAGCACTATAAAATGATTTTGCCTCAAAGAATTGCAGTCTTGAAAATGATACTTTATATGAACTGATATTTTCAAAAGAATTTTTAGTTTACCATAAGTAAGTCTCTGGAACATGATCGACGATAGAACTGGCCTTTATTGAAAGATAAAGCCTTTCAGGTTGGAGGTCCACGTGATAATTACAATCTGGTGATTTATGATAAATAGTACCTTAAAAGACATTACACACGTTATCAAATGTATTCCTTATTTGTCTTAGTGAAAAACTTGAGCTTCCTTGTTATCTCGCATTTTCATTTGTTCATTATGCATGTATTTTTGAATTATTACTTCAACAACACTTTTGCTGCGTTAATATGAACTACGGCAGCTTGCCGGTACAGTTGGCTTAATTCTCAGATTTACGGATATATTTCCTTGAAAATCTGAATATACATTTATGCACCAAACGAAAATGACACCTGTTTTTCGTCCATAAAATATTCATCAAATCTCTATTTGCTAAATATTTTAGTGTCATCTTTTATATACAGCGCTTTTGGATCACTTATGGTTGGTCCAACTTTCAATATAAACTGGTTTCGGCTTAATGACTGAATATTATCATGTTGGCCACGAATACACAAGTTTTTGAAGACTATGGGTGCACATCAATAAAGGATCCCAAATTACAGCAAAACAGTTGTTTGACAACTGATATAGTTGCTTCATGCAAACTAGATCAATATTGCAATGTTTTCAAAAAACTGCCTAAGGAAACGATATTTCATCATGATAGTTGCTGATGTAATTTTTTTGGACAGAGTGCGAAATGAACACATGTATACATGAAGTGTATATGATGACTGATCTCGCAAAATATAAAGTACTACTTTCCACTGTAATATCTGTAATTTTGTCAAACAGAACAAAGTTATTAGCATTCTGCACGTCAAGTAAACTATATGGTTGACCAATTGATCATAGCCATTTATAAGATGAATTTCAACCATGAAATGAGCTACAGTTTCGTTCATTTAGAAAAGTGAATGTAAAATCAGTCAGGTGAGTCCTTAAGTTATTTAGTCTAATGGGGTCGTGAATATCAACTGGGTTTATACAACTTACAGTTGATTAGTTATCTGTTAGTATTGTAGTACTACATCATTTATTAAACCATTAAAATACATGGGCAGTAATTACACGTCAGTAGTTTGAGCTTGACTGAACGAGTGAAGGATACACTTTGTGAATTACCAAGACGTGTCTGAGTTAAATAAAAGTGGTTGGTAATGAAAGTTGAAACTTAGAACTCAATAAACCAAAATGTAATCCAAAGATTAGTCACACTTTATTTCACAATCAGAGAAATGACATTTAGTGTATATTTGTTTGACTGTTTAGATGTAATACAACTAGAGAATTAAGTTGGTCCCTCATACACACTATACTATACAAACAAAGCAGTCATTAACGCTATTGAAATTATACCAGAGAAGTTTAAAAAGCTTGTTGATATGTTTCGTGCTAATTATCTTACGTAAGTGAAATTTCTAAGCGAATGGCTAGATTGTATGAAGTTGCTACAGCTACAGAAATGAGAATCATTTCCTTTCGCTTGTGACTTGTCTCAAGTGGTTTTTATTCATATATATATATATATATATATATATATATATATATATATATTCTGCATTACAGGTTAGGGAGTTATTATTCATCTAACAAGTATAAATTCGTAAAAGATGCACAAATCTTTCACGATTGACTGAAAGTTTATGTCGTCTTGGAGTAGAAATAACATTTTACACATGAGAAGACACCTGAAATATGTACACAATTTGACACGGATTAGATTCAACATGGAATTCACCGATGTTTGATTTCTTATTCGTTTCTTACTGATACATATAATCAGTGATTGAATAAAAAGTGATCTGCAGTTAGACGATTGAGTTTTTCTGCTAATCAATATGAACAAACTAATCATATCTTATAAATTATGTACCCGCTAAAGTTCCCTTAAAATTTTTGGGAAGGATGTGTGAGTTACCCTATTTGGTGTACTCGCTGGTCGAATAGTGGTGTGTAATATTCAAAATCACTTAAAGTCGTTTCCTTTTAACACCATGATATAGTGATTTTTAAAGGCGTATAAGGTGGATTATATACAACAGAGACTATCGGATAATAACGAGCATTGGAAAATCATGTCCACTATACGCTCTTAAATCCAGTAAATGTCAATAATAAACTGACATTTCACTCGTTCATATATCTGGGCCCGTCAGTAATGATAATTGGTTTATCTAGAACGTAGACTAACAATAAAACAGTGCTGATGTGCTTTTAATATTTTAACTCTATAAACTGATTGTATCTGTAAGTTTCAGTTTTGATTATTTCTGTTATGACTGAATAAAAGAACTGTCCAATGTGTACATCAATTTTATTTGAATAATCAATATTACTGATGAATTTGGTTAATCTTCTGGTAACTCAATAAACATTCTATATATTGTACAAGTAAAATAAGCTTAATCTAGTAACATCTTTCACATTTCATTCGGAATTGTATCTAATCCTAAAGAAAACACTTATCTCATATCCCTTGGTTTTCAATGCACCTTCATCTAGCTGACTTTGATTCATGATGACCATCACTTGACGACTAAATAAAATGAAACTATCTCATTTGTAAAACGGTAGTCAAATCAGTTATCATAACTTACTTTGAAATGTTTTTGTAAATCATCTACATGACGAAATATTGATTTATCAAAGAATACATGTTCATGTTTACCCAAATCAATAATTCCCCATAATTTAGCTACATGAAATATTCTACCACAACGATTTGTCAATGTACGTATACCATTTAAATCCATTGGTTTTGATGCAGTAATAATAATATTAATCATACGATTTAAACGTTTATTACATACATTAATATAATCTATATTTGAATTTGATAATTGTTGATATTTACGTTGTTGACATCGTTGGTTCACTTGTGAATAATCACTATGGTGATTAGAATTATCATTTGTTCCATCATCATCATCATCATCACCATTAAATGATGCTTTGATTAATTTTAATTCAAAAAATAGATTGTGTTGATTTAAAAATTCTTCTAATTCAATTTTAGTCCAACCAATTGTTGTTTGAACAGTTTCAGGTGCTTTATTAGATAAGAATTGCATTAAATCATGTAAATTTAAACCAGATTGACCAGCTGCACCACCGTGTTTTTCTAATACTTTACGTAAAAACATTATTGCCCGATATTCATTAGCAGACATAGTTAAACTAATACTATTCATTGTGTTCAGTGTAACACTAGGTAATGAATTGGTTAATGAAGATGTGTCATTGCTGCTGTTACTGAAGTTGAGCTGACACCATCACTATTATTATTATTATTATTATTACTGTTATTATTATTATTACTATTATTATTGATGCTGTTAGTTGATTTATCGACATCTATTCTTTCTGTCTGAACACGGCTACTGATATCTGATACAAGATTCGAATTGATAGGTGTTGCCGGCACTGAACTAATACTCTCTGACTCAGTTAATGTTTTATTCTGAGATTTTGTTGAACTATCAATTAGAAAATGTGCTGAACGGCGATGGCGGCTTCCAGCAGTGGATCGTTGAGTCGACGATGATGGTGTATAATAACCGCCAATACCATCGGATACATTTGATAAATGTCCAAAATTTATCATATTCGGTAAAACAAGTGATTTGGGCCGGGGATTCCTCTCATACGGCATATTACGTGGTAGATAACTTTGTGCAGCATTAGATAGATTTGATGATGAACGACTTGAGTGAATAGCTGATGGACGATCGTGAGATCTTTTCAACCCAAAAACACTAGAGAACGGATCTTTTACACTAACTAAATCTCCCTGCACTTCGAAAACATGTGGATGTTTCAAAAGAAAACGTCGAAATTCCAACTGTGGACCAACTATAGCACGAACTTCTGGACTAGCCTGCGATAAATGTCCTGCTAAGCTTTTAATCGGTATCCAACGTTCTTCCGTTTAATTAGTTTCTGTTGAAAAAAGTGTACTGCTTCACTTTCGAGTATGAATTTCTCCATTACTGGTAAATTGTAACAGTTTGGTAGTAGTATAGATGGAGATCGTAATGTAGTTTGTGCTGGTGATATTTTATGAATAGGATCATGTATATGGTGAAATAATGGAGCTGATGGATTCGCTGTCAGTGGAGTGGTTGTACAATGACAATGCGCTGAAGATGAATGATGATGTGCAGTTGTACAGTGATGTGTATGATGGTGACAGGTAAATTCTATCAGTGGACAGTGTATACATGTTCCATTAGTCATTGCAGAGAATTCATGATGATTACTTAGTAGGGCATTATAATTACTACCATTAATTGTAGTAGGGACATTTGATGAAGAAGAGCATAATTCACAACCGGATGATAACATTAATGAGGTTCTATGTTCAAGATTACGTAACTGTGGTGGTTGGTAAACATTTGAAGCTTTTGCTCGTAATGTTGAGGGATTTTTCGAAGATAAACCAATGGGTGGTTGATTATCATCATTATCATTGTTTGTGGTAGTATTAGTAGTAGTAGTAGTATTATTAGCAACATTTTTGTAACTGGTTTATGTCGATACCACCACTAGAGAAGTTATTCCACGACTTTTTACGTCCTAATAAATGATCAGATGAATTTTTTACAAAGTTAGACGATCCATTAGATGAACTAATTGACTGATCAGATGTCAATGATAAACAACTTGTACTATTCAATCGATTATTATTATTATTAATGGTATTATGATTAATATTATTATTAGTGGTGTTGGTAGGATTGGGTTTCCGATTAGACCGAAATTGACTATATGTATATTCCTTTTGCACACATGGTATTGGACATGTTTTCGATGAGTAATTAGAATCGAAATTGTAAGAGGAATTTTGCAATGAAGAAGAACTGCTGGATAAATTTTCATTTATTGATTTCTGACCGCTTTCTTTATTGAACAACTTTCTTGATCAGATAAACCACCGAAATTTGAATCTAAGCCAGGTAATTCAATAGTAACTGATGTCACTTGTCCATTCGGTTTTACATTAAACAATGAAGGATAACGTCGCAAAAATTCACGCAAACCTTCAGCGCTTCCACCACCGCATGCATCACGCATTTCTACACTGAATGATTTATGCGAAAAACGCGCTGCTAATTGATCAACAGTGATAGGACTATCAGAATTCATAAGAACCTCAAGAAAATAAAGCATTGCTTTATGACTTGGATCATTCATCATTTTATAAAGGAATACTTCTCTTCGTTTTAAATAATCTAAACATGATACAGCATCTAGTTTAATTCAGGATTCATAAATAATACATTGGATATTGTGAAGTGTGAAAAAGGATATTTTGTTTTATAAAGAGAGAAAGGATAAACGCATTTAGAGGTGAATACAATAGTTAACTTTTAGAATACAACTGTTAAGAACGATAATCATCAAAAACATCAATAGATCTATCACAATAGTCTTATCAGTTTTCCAATCAGTCTGAATCTGTTACATATTGTTCGAACTGAGAGAACTGATTTCTATGAAGGAGACTAAACGTCATTTATATAGAAAATAGATTTTTAAAATATAGAACTAATGTTAGGCAGAAAGTCATGTGTCAATGTTTGTGTAAATCTGCGTTACTGAATATCATCTAAACCCTATCAGTTAGTTGAGGAAGTTATTATTTGTATGTCAGGGGGGTGAGAAAACGAACTTAAATGTAATTTTAATGAGTATCAGTTTATCAATTTTACAATTCTAGTGTTAGAAGAGGTCCATCTTCATGTTTTGTACATTAGGAGATAATTAAAATCTAAATCAGTATGAACTAATGATTTCTTTTTGGTACACAAAATTATCTTTTCTGCGTAACAGAAGGGGTTTTGTGGAGATTGTAGTAATTTCAATAGTTGAGATCATGAGACAATTGAAGTTAGACAACCATGGAAAACCTGGAAGTACTGGGCGGCCGTTTCGTCCAATTGTGGCACTCCTCAGCAGAGCACATCCACGATCCCACCTCTCGAGATCCGATCCCAGGACCTATTGGTCTCGCACGCGAACGCTTAACCACGAGACCATTGGGTCGACTGGCATTCAGTGGTGTCAATATCTAACTTCAACTAATCCACGAAATCGAGCAACACATCCACCATTATTTTCAGTCAGTTACCAACTCAGTACAGACCCGGTTGAAATCGATGGTCACTGCTTCTCACTAGAACTCCAAGAAGTAGTTCTTGAAGCCAGTCACTAGTGAGTATATGTTGATTAGTATCAGAAGGGGTTTTGTGGTTATTGTATTAATTTTAATAGTTGAGATTATGAGTCAATTGAAGCTATATATAATGTTCATCAATCAAGTGATATTTGTACTAAATGCTTATCCAATCATAATCAGATGTGGAAATTAGTCAGCATTTGAATGAGATTGAATAAGCACACTAAAGATTTGATTTGATTGTTAAACATGATTTATTATTTGATCATTTTGATTTCAATAGTTGAGCTGGCTCAGTAGTCTAGAGGTTAAGCGTTCGCGTGCGAGAACGATAGAACCTAGGTTCAAATCTCACGAGGCGGGATCGTGGATGCGCACTGCTGAGGAGTGCCACACTAGGACGAAACGGCCGTCTAGTACTTCCAGGTTTTCCATGGTTGTCTAACTTCAATTGACTGATGATCTCGACTATTAAGATTACTTTATTATCCACAAAAAGCCCCTTCTGATGTCAGTTTTAATTTTGATTATTCTACCCTGAAGAAGTTCAGACACGTTCTCCGGACAAAACGTTGGAACTATTTTTAAATTTCAGAATATGATTTTCACATAAATAATTTTATTTATTATTGATTAACAAATAAATGAATTAATTAGTAAATAGGAGAAGGATTACATAATTAAATGTTGGAAAATTTCAGGTGTCAAAATGGGTTACGTAATAATAATAATAATAATGAAAATTACTACTCGTTAACGAAAAATGATTTAACCTCTCTCGAAATTTCGATGCAATACAAAATGATTTCCAGCTAATGTAGTTGAATGTTCTATTATTAAGTGTGTTGAAATGATACATTTCAGATATAGAAGTTTCTAAAAGAAAGTGAACGTGCTCATTGTTCGTTGGAGTAATGCGTTCATTGTTATAGTACCATTACACTCAGTCTCATATCAGAATCTACCTTAGTATTTTACTTCTATTGAAAAGAGGCAGTTAAGGGTGAGTGAGTGAGAGAGAGATCTAATTCAGCCAATCATGAAATTTCAACTCAATAAAATTCATCTCAATACTATTATTCTCTAATACCTGTTTTTAGTATCTTCTAAATTTTAATAATTTTCCAACTTATTTCAATTCCGTGTTGAAATCAATACGAACGTCAAATCAGTTCTACTGTACGGAGTTGAATCTTCGAGGACTACTACAACCATCATCAAGAAGGTACAAGGATTTATAAATAGTTTTCTACGAAAGATACTCAATATCCATTGGTCAGATACTGTTAGCAACAAACTACTGTGGGAGAGAACAAACCAGCTTCCAGCTGAAGTGGCAATTAGGAAAAGACGATGGAAATGGATAGGACATACATTACGCAAATCACCAAACTGCATCACGAGGCAAGCCCTAACTTGGAATCCTGAAGGGAAGCAGAAAAGTGGAAGACGAAAGAACACATCACATCGGGAATTGGAAGCAGATATGAAAAGAATGAATAACAACTGGAAAGAACTGGAAATACTTGCCCAGGACAGGGTTCGATGGAGAGTGCTAGTGGGCGGTCTATGCTCCTCCACGAGGAGTAACAGGCGTAAGTTGAAAATTAACTTTAATGCAAATTTGTTTTAAATTGATGATTCAGATGAACCTGTTTTTCTTCTTAAATTTACATCAATTAATCGTTTGAAACAAGGATATGATATTGAAATGAATAAAACGGAATAATTTTAATTAAATTCATTATTATACTACTAATATGTTAATGAATAGATTGTTTTAATTAGGTATATAAACGATTATTCAGTTAAAATACAGTTTTTAAAACGAATATATTTGAAGAGCAAAACAATAAATACCTTTCCTTTTTTTCTTTCTTTCTAAATTTAATGTAATTCATGCGATCTAATATATGCACATGTTAAGGATGATTGAAGAATACACTTACGTTTATGGTGAATTAGAGCATTCTTAAAAATAACCTTGAAGAGAGAAATTAACACAATGGTGTGACCAAAAAAAAACACAAAAAGTGAACTTAACGTTACACGTAAAAACTAGTGAACTACATTATACCTTGACGGCTCTTAAAGTGACTTCAATAGTTGAGATCACCAGTCAATTGAAGAGAAGATAGACCACCATGAAAAACCTGGAAGTACTAGACGGCCGTTTCGTCCTAGTGTGGCACTCCTCAGCAGTGCGCATCCACGATCCCACCTCTCGAGATTCGATCCCAGGATCTATCGTTCTCGCACGCGAACGCTTAACCACTAAAACACTGAGTCGGCCGGCATCCAACTGTTCAAATAGTTCGATGACCTAGATTTCAAAGTGTAAAGTAGTAACACCAAAGGATTGTAACGGTAACCGAATAATTATTCAAGATCATGGATTTATTATTTGCTCATAGTCCGTGGGGAATCTTGATGCCTTCATCAATCATACAAATTTTTTGTGTGTGTGCCATACGATTGATTTTTGAAGATAAGCTTACGTTCATTGTCAACAAATTCCTCAATAAAGATAAGCTTCTACAATCTTAAAGAAAATCATACAGCCATCTTCTCTAAATTGATTGGTTATATACTGAAGCTATAAGTTAAGGTTGATACTTTCTATTATGATTAATATAATGAAGCGCACTCATAATTCGTTTCTTCAAGTTTTCGGTTAATTGTAATATTGAAAGATTCGTAGTTTATAATTAAAGAAAAATAGTTTTCCTTGGAATTTATTTTCAAGTTATATTAGTAGATTGTAAAGTAACAGAGGGTAGTTTAGTTCATCCATCATGGAATCTAATTTATGTTATAAACTAGGTATTTATTGAGAAACAGGTGGTTAGCCTAGAAAAACAGCTTTTCTATGATCAGAGTGACAGACATCAGTTTATTATAATCAAAAGACATATGTGAAGCATGTAAGTGTATCTTTGTAAAGGACTTAAGTCAGAATAAATTCCTATTTTAGGCTTTACCTGTTGCCTAGACACAAAAATTACTAGGTAATTATTGTTTGCTTACCTCTATTTAGCTTTTATAAATTTTGGTATAATTTTTGATCACTTTCTTCGGGCTTTTTAGGTTTGAAAGGGAAACGTTAAAATATGTGTGACTACTGAGTATTTGAATATCATAGCCTACCAATTTATGTATAGTCAATAGCAAATAAACGCACAGAGAGAGAAAGGCAGGAAACATTCAGATCACCTAGTGTCTTTTATTTTCGTGAATGAATGATAGCTCTAGCATGTAAGAACATTCTAGGTAACTAGTTTGGAATTCTTAGTTTTCCATTAACGTTTGCTGTTAATTGTTTGGTCGTTTCTACTTTTAGTTTGCTAGTTTTTCTGTGTCTCAAAGAAATATTTGCTGCTGTATACACAGTTTTGTTGCTACAATTTTGATTTCTTTGAATACCAAGCTTTTTTTCTGAGTTCGTGAATTCTATTCAATGTCTTGAGGGATTGTTCTTGAAGTGTTGTTAATTAGTAGTCCTGTTCATCTGGTTCGAATGTGCTCCGTTTATCATCATAAGAATCGCTTAGCGGTTCGTAATTCGTGATTATGGTAAGCAATCACGAGACAAAGCAAGAGGGAAATTTGATCTACAAAGGAACCATCTAATCAACCAAATCCTTCTGTTCGCCCTTATATTTCATTCAAGTTAATAAAGCGATCACCATCTATAGTACATAGTTTCCTATCTCTAAAGACGTATCAATTTCTTTTAAGGGCTTGCATTTTTTGTTGTGTTGGTGTTTGGGACTGCACACGATTAGTCTGTTTGTATATATGAACGCTGAGCAGATGGCTTGATATATAGTTACAGGTTAAAATATATTTGAATTGTGGCTCGAAATAAAATCTAGATTGCATATTTCGACCTGTTTGATGCTTGTCATCTGGATGCACCTGAATCCCAAATTGATGATCATACTGAAATTCAAGCTCATAATCTATTACTTCAAACTCCAACACGCTATTCGCTAAGTTGCTGATCAAAATTAAGTTCTGAATACCAAAAGTGAAATGGTTGAAACCCTTGCGGATAAAAGATTGTATCCA